CAGATGAAGCATTTTAAATTAAGATGGTTTGAGCTTCAGGGTTCAAGCTATGTAAACAAACATGAGACGCTGCCCTTTATTCCCAAAGTAAAAGGGATTCTGTCTCGTGTCCCTGAATGCCATGGCTGCTATTTTTATTGGCCAGTTTCTGGCATCCTTCTCAAATATTGCATTTTTCTTTATGTGTCCCATAAACAGCTATTTCATATATGTGTACACAGCTTTGAAAATGAGTTTTAGTTACCTAGACCTTGTATAACATGACTTGGTTATATTTAAACCATATGGATACTTAAAATGTATACACGACTATTTTCCCTTCATCAAACATAAGTAAAACGATTATATTAGCAAATTGAAGGAAGAGGGAGGGAGGGATAAGGGGAAGGAGGGAGGGAGGGAGTCCTTTAATAAATGTTCATGGATAAAGATGCCCCTCCCCAAATACCCATCCAGTGACATTAAGCATGTCCGTGTGGTTTATGTATGAGCACAAACACTGAGCAGACTTTGGACCTAAAGAGTCTCTATTTCCACACTTGGGCTGAGGACACAGCTCTGTGTGATCATTTCTGTCATTTTAAACCAGAATTGGGCAGCAGTGATCACATTTGTTTACTAATAGAAAATCAAAATAAAGGAAAAAATTCTCCCCTGAGAAATAGATTTCTTAGTCCAACATTTATGTTTAAAATTTAATAATGGGCTTTAAATGGAGATGGACTCATTATACATCCAGGATTGGTTTGACCTCAAATAGATCATTCTGACAGAGCAATCCCTTTCTGTGAGCTTTAGCGCAGTCGTGGCTCATGGGGGCTCGTGCTCCCCATGGTCTCTCCGCTGTGGAGTGTAACCTGGGCTCCCCAGGAGCTCCGTCTACCTGGATGATGTTACGGTAGGTTCTCTGAACACAGTGTGGATGGCACCGAGCAGCTAGAAGCTGTGGGTGGCTTTGGCTGTCATTTATCAGAAAGCATTCACAGGATTGCTAAGCTTGCTCTCTAAAATCTTACTAATGCAACTTTATTTTATTTTCCTGTTCTGGGTATCTAGCCCAGGGCCTCATGCCGCATGCCCACCACTGAGCTGCACTCCTAACCCCAGCACTTTTAGTAATCTTGTTTAAGAACCATCTTTACATAAATTTAATAACATGAATGCTTATCATATTGGCTTCACATTTGGGTAATTACAGAAATAACCCAATAGATGAAATATATATATATATATATGATATATATATGATGAGATATATATGGCCTCAAACTCAGAGATCTGCCTGCCTCTGCCTTGCGAATGCTGGGATTAAAGGTGTGCGCCACCACCGCCCAGCATCCAAAACATGTTTTGGTTTGTTTTTTAGGTTTTTCGAGACAGGGTTTCTCTGTGTAGTTTCGGTGCCTGTCCTGGAACTCGCTCTGTAGCCCAGGCTGGCCTCGAACTCACAGAGATCCGCCTGGCTCTGCCTCCCCACTGCTGGGATTAAAGGCGTGCGCCACCACCGCCCAGCTGCAAAGCGTGTTTTTAAAGAGTAGTAGGCATGGTATCCCATCCAATGCTCCTCTTTACTATTTAAGAAGACAGAAAACACTGACGGTGTGATCTGCCTAGCTTTCCCTCCGTGGCATTAATCCTGAGCAGGAGGCGGGGTCAGGGGCAGATGTGCTGTCTGGGCAGGAGCAGCAGCCTGACCGTGTTTTTGGAGCTGCTGACTGGGGCTCACAGCCTCCCTTGGGAATCAGGATGAAGACAGATGTTCTGCACCCAGTCTGGCTTCACTCTGTTTAAACTGTCCCTTCTGCGGGGGAGATGCGGGGGATGCGGGGGATGCGGGGGATGCGGGGGATGCGGGATCAAAAGGCATCCCCCTCCAGCCTTCTTGCAACATAGTAGCACGAGGCCCCCTCCCCTCTCAAAAGGGGTGCTACCAAGTTTTATTTCCGTGCCTCACCAAAAGGAAACACAACTCATGTGGCCGCCTACCTTTCCTTCTGCAGAGCTAATCAGGAGTGGGACTCAGGTCCGTCACCTAGCCCATGCTCTGGTCATTCTCAGAGTATCCATGGCCAGTCCGTCCTATTTCCCACAGGAAAAGGGAAAAATGGCCAGCAGAAGCTGGCTGGTGGACCAAGCCAGCTACGGGAAGAAGTGGCTATCCCAGGACCCAGGCTGTGCCAGCATATTCCAAATACCTGGCCAGTCCTAACAGAGACCCACGAAGGGCTCTACACCTGGGCTCAAACGAAGTGGCTAATAAATTACAAGATGTTTATTCCACCTGTGCCTTGAGAGAGGGTCAGAGGCATGATTTTAATATTTAAATTATGGTTCCCAGACCTTAAGTGCCATCCAACCAGACAATGAAAACGATATGACTGATTACCCCCTTTTTTTAAAAATTTATTTAATTATTTATTTATTTATTTATTTATTTATTTATTTATTTATTTATTAGGGATACAGCATTCTGTCTACATGCATGCTTGCAGGCCAGAAGAGGGTACCAGATCTCATTATGGATGGTTGTGAGCCACCATGTGGTTGCTAGGAATTGAACTCAGCACCTCTGGAAGAACAGCCAGTGCTCTTAACCGCTGAGCCATCTCTCCAGCCCCGATTCCCCTTTTTGTTTTGACATCGAGGGAGCTCAGATCTAAGTCTAATAGTCAATACCTTTAACTTTATTGTTTTAAAGAATTGCTGAGCGGTCAGGCTAAAAGTGCATGAAATGTTTTGTCATAGGCATGACGTTATTGTAGGACTAACAGTGATCTTACAAATTACAAATGAAAGTGAAAAATAATCCGATCGAGGTCATTTGACCACACATCAAGTCAGGAGAATAAACCAGTCTGGGTACAAGGGCCCGGCTAGCCCGGCTAGTTCTGCACACAGTGATCTAGAAAATTCCTGGAAAAATAACCACAAGACAAGTCTCCCTCCTTCTTCTCTTCCTCCCTCCCTCCCCCTCTCTCCCTTCTTTCTTTCCCGCTTTGGGAATTGAACCAGGGACCTTGGTGCAGGTCTGTGCTCTGCCACTGAGCTCTGTTCCCAGCCCTATAGACAGTAAATTTCATGTTGTCAACGGTATTTCCAGTCTTACAAGTATGTTAATCCTATGAGTCACGAGGTACAAGACTTAAGCCTCAGTAAACTGTATTCAGAAGAGCTGGTGTTGTTTTCTAAAGAAGGGGGGTGGGAAGAAGAGGGGGAGAAGAAGCAGGGGGGAGGTAGAGGGAGGGAGGGAGACAGGAGGGGGCGTTTGGAGGAAAAGAAACCTCCCCCCAACTGCAATGTGCAGGTTCACTTACTTCGCTTCAGCAGCACAGAGGCACAGCCCCACTCCCACGGGAGAAGGGCGGAACACAGAGGAGGTCATACACCGGCGACAAAATGTTTGCAAACGTGCTGCTCGGAGGAAAACAAAAGGAACCGCGCCACGAGTGGGTTTCCAAATTTGGTGATTTTTTTTTTCCTTTCAATGAGAAAGCTAATTTTTGCTTAACTACAGGAAAAAGTCTACGGTTCGGTCTTTGGGTGTCTCCCATTCTAATGTCTTCCCCCTCGGTTACACTGACAGCCCGTAACAGAGAGAAACATTTAGTTCCTACTTCTATAAAAACTGTGACTTCCCAAGTGAGCCTCTAATGTTGGTGTTTATGGCCGTGGACAGATGCTCCTCTCGGCCTCCCTTTGCACTGAGAGGTGGTCACGGCACAGGCTCGTGGCTGCTCCAGAGAATGAGTCACGTTGACCTCTCAGTCCCCAACAGGACATTTCTACCACCGCCTCTTAGGTGCGGAGCACCGGGGAATTCGCAGACTGGGTACCAGCAGGGGTGGGGGAGGGGCTTGGAGGCTGAGCTATTGGTCAGAGACACCCCCCCCCCGCCCCCCCAGAAGGGGAGTCGGTGTCCTATCTTCTCACTGATGACTCTACCGGGCTCCAAGGAATCACTTCAAGCTAGCAGCCACACGGAAGGCTCCAGTAAACCCAGTGGGTCACAAAACAAAAGAAAAAAGACCAGAATGTGGGAAAGGTGTTGATAGTGAGGTGGGGGAGAGAAGAGGGGGTGGGGAGAATAGAGGAGTCGGATGCTTCATATACACACATGAATTTGGTCAAATAACTTTTTTTTTTTTTAAATGGGGCTTGTCACGTCAGCCATGAATGGAGGAAATAGGAGTGACCTTTCAGCCTCTCCCTGGCCAGACATGCCATTAAGCCACCTAGCAAACTCTCTGGGGACAGACAAGCTGGGGCCACCTCCTTCCTCTAAGGAATGGTACTCTGGAGAAGTTCTAAGAAATCAGGGCCTTGCACAGTAGTAGTGAGCTGACTGTGACGCCTATAAAATGCTTTACTGAAACAACCACTGAGCTGCAAAAAACTCAGGAAAAACGACCCTGAACTCCACGGGAACAACCCACGAGTCCACCCCCTGAACTCCACGGGGACGACCCACGAGTCCACCCCCTGAACTCCACAGGGACGACCCACGAGTCCACCCCCTGAACTCCACCGGGACGACCCACGAGTCCACCCCCTGAACTCCACCGGGACGACCCACGAGTCCACCCCCTGAACTCCACCGGGACGACCCACGAGTCCACCCCTTCCCTCTTAGTTTTTCCCGTGCACATGTCACACAAAACCCACGTGGAAAGAGAGTTTCTCTTTCGGTCCACAGCCACGTCTGATTTCACATACAGACAGTGAACAAGAGCAGAAGGTTCCCCTGGGGGGAAGCTCTGTCCAGTGCCACCTCACGTTGCTAAGTGACAGGTCAGGAAATCTGGCAAAATCTCAGAATAGGGCTGACCACAGCTGAGATACACCGAATTAACCTCAAAGCAAAAAGAAAGGTGTCCCAGGAGGGGGTTACACTTATGGATTATGCTCATACATCAAAGCAGACTCATTTCAGGTTGGGAAAAGCTGTCATGACCGTTAACATTTAATATTTCAATAGATCCATAGAATCAGGCAGGACCTACCTGGGACAAACCTAGATGGACAGAAGCTGTCTCAGATATATACATGATTTTGCCATCAGAGGCCACCACAAAAACGAAGCCATCCAGGGTCTGTAAAGAGAAAGTGTCAGGAAAGAGAGTGCAGTTAGACTTCATGGGTGAGGAGAAGGGCTGAGGGGCGTTGCTGGGGGGGGGGGTGCTTGCCGCCGCCCAGGGACTACAGGTACCGCTCAACCTCTGCTTCCCAAGCCAGGCTCTCAAAGCACTTGTAAAACAATCTTACATCCACACTACAGAACCACGCAAAATGTTTGACGAGTCCTAACTGGCTCAGTTTGAATGTCGTGCCTTTATTGTTTGGGCTTATTTTAGCACTTAGAACGAATCCGGAGTTCTATGGTTCTTAGGGGAACATCTACCGCTCTACAGACTACTTAATGTGGGAATTGGCAGTCGCTTATACCACAAGGACCAACACTTTATTCACCACAGTTTTCTAGTTACCCCTAAGTACTGCTTGAATAATAAATTCCTACCATTGCCATTCGCCAGAAAATAAAACAATATGTCCGATTATTCTACCAGACCGTGTCTACAGAATCGAGCATTTAGACTTTGAAAGAGATCAAATGACCTTTGCCAAAGTCAGGGAGGAAAAAAAGTATCAATTTCTGAAAAATGAAAACGACTCCAATGAAATTCTGATTTCTGTCTGAGTTGCTAACCCTCCAGAAATAACGTGAGATTGTAAAAAGTGACTCAGACAACAAAGAAAGTAAAAACTGCACCATCAACGACAAAAAGCTAAATACTTTTGGAAAAGAAGAAACCGTATTGTATTTATTTATATTTTAAGTTCAGGACCCCCCCCCAAAAAAGGGGGCAATAAAGTTGGTTAAAAAAAAAACAACTCCATACAACTCACAATGTGCACACATAAAAATATTCCAAACTAATTTCTGGCTACAAATTCTATTTTTACAGCATGTAATTGAAAGCAGATTACCGTTGAGTTTCTTCAAAACACTCCTTCAAAGGGGAGGAGATGTAAGAAGAACGAAGCAGAAACGGAATTTGAAGATCCCCTTACATTTGCTATATCACATAGTTTGCTACCAAAATTCTTTGCCGTCTAACCTGTCATTGCCTTAGCTACATTAAAGGTAAAATCACCTTTAAAAACATCATCCCACTTTTAACTCAGCTATGTAGTATTTTCCTAACAGAATCGGTGACATTTCAGATATGAAAACCAAAAATCAATTTCTAACGTTCTGATCCGGATGCTGGACTCCAAATTCATTTAAGAAATACCAAATGGATCTCTCACTGCGTCCAAGGAAATGAGTGGAAGTTTTAAAAGTTAGGATTAAAAATTGAAAGTTGCCAGCAGTAGCTTAAAAAAAAAAAAAAAAAAATCCTGTTCTCAAAGGGAAATGTGGAGCGCCACCCCACAGGAATCACCCAGACCGAAGACGTTCACTTTACCCACCAACCCTCTTCTGGGTACCTAGGTCTTACTCCTCACTGACGGTGAACGTCACAGTTGGAAGGGGTTTGGAATACACAAACAACGCGCTCCCGGCTGCAAGTGAGCCCCGAGGGCGCAGGCTCACCGGCCACTGGACTCTTCTGCCACTTCCATTGCTAGGACTGTGAAGGTTCCTGGATCCAAATACCGCCCCCCCCACTCCTGCTCCCCCACCTTCTCCAACCCCGGGGAGGGCAGGTTTTAGGTCACACCCGGGGTTTTGGGGCAAAGGTTTTCAGAGAGATGGGAGTTTCTGTTTTGTTTGCTCAGCGCTGACTCTCCGACCACTAGGGCCTTCCGCGAACTTTTTTTTTTTTTTAAAGAAAACACAAAATAGAAGAAGGAAATGCAAAATAGCCACCCGTGGGCATTTTTCGATGGCAGAGACAAATGACGGGAGGTGGGGGGAATGAATCGCGTCGTTGATGGGACTCTGAGGGCCGCATTTGAGATGAGAGGGAGGTGGCGCTGTCCTCAGCTACCCCAGCCGCTGAGGTGGAAGTGGCCGCGGGCGCCAGGGCTGCCCAGCCCCAACCGCAAGGCCAGGGCGCGCATAAAGTCGAGGTAGCCATACAGAGTTCTGGGGGAACCTAGTGCCTGACCCCAAATCAAGCAAGAGCTCCAAGACAGATGGCCTTGGAGGACGCCCCGTGTCTGGGTTGTTATTGATGGGGGCCACAGGACTGGACCGATTCTTGTTGCGACCTCGTGGACGCTACTTATAACTTCCACGTCCTCAGTTTCCCGCTCAGAATAAAATGGAGAGTGCAGGGGATGGGGGGTGGGGTGGGGTGCAGCGAGATGAAAGGGTTTTAAAAGAATCTGGCCTGGGATGGGGGACCCAGGAGAGTCTAAGATTCGCGTACTGCCTCGGCCAATCTCAACTTCTCTAGCGACCGCTGAGGCGCTCTGCTTGCGAGCTGCGGGCACCCCAGCTTGGTCTCCAGCGCCCGGCCGGGTCTGCCACAGGGCGAAGCAGAGGTGCCAAGGACTCAGTCCCGCTCCGGCGTTTGGGTGGCGAGGCACTCCCGTACTGCTGGAGGAGTGCTGGGTGTGGGTGTCGCCGGCCTGACTCTGCACTCCCGACCAGAGGCACCCCAGGTCCCCTTGCCCCGCGCCTCTGCGGCCTGGAGGCGCCGCGGGGAACCCCTCCCCAGAGCAGCCACCGCGCGACGCCGGCTCTACCTGCAGCAAATGGGATCCCAGCTCTTTGGCCACGCTGTCCAGGGGCCCTGTTCTGCTCGGCTGTCCCCACGCGTCTCCTAGACCTGGGACAAGGGAATAAAGCAAACCATTTAGCCGTAGCACCCACAGACTCCAGGGCTCCAGGCCAGACACGGGGAACCCCCCGCAGCGTGCGCTCCCCCCCAGCTCCGACCTCTACCTGCCACCCTGCTCCTGAGTCCCCTCACTCTCAGCCCGGTGTCGGGGGTTTAAAAACCCAAAGCTTCACAGCCGGACGAGGTGGCGGTGGCGCGTGCCTTTAATCCTAACACTAGGGAGGGTCTCTGAGTTCGGAGCCAGGCTGGTCTAAGAGAGAGTTCAGGACAGCCTGAGCTACACAGAGAAAAAAAACAAACAAACAAACCAAAAATCACCAAAGGGGGAGCTAACAAACAGAAGCCAGAAGCCCCAGGACAAACTTCCTCGGGGTGGGAGGCCCAGTCGGGGGGGGGGGTCCCGTCCCTTCCCTCTCCGAGTCTGCAGGACCCACCGCTCCCGGGGGTCGCCCACGTGCACATGGCTCTGAAATTGCGGTTTTATTAGAAATGCCACTAAGTAATCTAATCTGCTTTGAAATTGGTTATCCTGGGAGCCAAACGGGGGTATCGATTTGACCAGTAAATACTCCCCCGAATCCCTGCGCTCCCGCCCTCTTCCCACCCCTACCCTGTGCAGCCCGCAAAGATCATCAGGTCGTGTGACCCTCTGTCTTCTGGGCGCCCACAGCTTCCCCGGAACTCGGTCCTCTTCGATCCCAGAGCTCCAGACACACTCGGGTGGCTTTTCAGGGCACTTGTCTGTTCTCACACAATCAGGGGTCCCCCATCCCCTCCACCTACAGGGATCCCTTAAGATCTGAGATTTCCACCCCAGAGCGCAACTGGGAAAAGAGAGCAGGGCCCTTCCCGGTCTCCCTCTCCCCACGCCCCCCACCCCACCCTCGCTAGCTGCTGTGACCCACAGAGGTTATCCTCTGCCCACTCCGAAGGCAGGTGACCAGGTCTCAGCAGGAGCTTGAACGCGTGGCGTTCACTCCTGGGACCTAGCAGGCACATTCTCTGGGGAACTGCAGGCTAGGCCAGATCTCCTCCTGCCCGTGTGCCTTAAGTGTGGGGCTACAGGCCAGCGGCCACTTTATTAGGCTGGACACTCTGAGCAGGCATCCTGGCTAGCCTTAGCAAATAGCAGGGCGGCAAACGCCCTCGGTATGGTTCCCTACCTACACGTGGCCTCTGAGCCTCTAACCTAGGAAAAAGAAAACCATACCCCGAAGTCCAGTACAGGCTTCCCGGAAACCATTCGGGAACTAAAGGAAAGGGTAACCTCTAATTTCTGCTTCCATCCAGGTCTTCACGGGGAGAAGTGGCTAGTTAACATCCCCACCCCACCCACCACCTCCCCAGTGCCCTGCAAGGATGCAGCCCCCTTATTCCTGGCCCTTGAGTCTCTGCCTGTGAGCAAGGACTGTTCTAAATCAGCTCCCTCCAAGCAGCCACACACCCAGCACCCTTTGCTTCAGGCTAGGTCCTTTGTTTTGTGGAGAGGAAAGCAGGGGCATCAGGCCTTTGCCCCTTTGGAATAGCCTTGGAAAGAACCAGGGTGTAAAATTCCAGGAGGTTCACCGAGAAGAACGAATTTAGTAAGGGTCTAGGGAATCTGATAGCTGAAGACGAACGGACAGACTGTCCCCTCCCCTGCCTCTGGGTCCTTCCTGAGTTTGGGTGGTGCTCTGGCTATGAAGACATCCTTGACCCTTGACCCCCAGTGCAAAGTTGCCTCTCCCCCTCCCCCCTTGATGTTTCTGACTTCTCCCAGAGTCCTCCAGGGACACTTCCCATTTGGGAATGACCCCCAAACCAGCCGCCTCCGAAATGGGGGCTTCCCCCAAACCTGTGGAAGGTCCTGTCTCCACAACCAGGGGAGCCCTGGGCACACAGGACTATTTTCGGTATAATTCAAATACCCGGATGTTTTTGTACATCACTATAATTTTCCTGTAACGTCTCGAAAATGTGCCTCTTCTGGGTCTGGCAGAGGTGTCTGGGCTGCATGGGACGATTCCTCCGCTCACCCCCCCCCCCCCCCGCCCCCCCCCCCCCCCCACAGCCACCTCATCCTACAGCCGCGGCTCTGCCAGCTGTTCCATTAGGAGCCGCTATGGGAGAGGTCTTTTCACTCAGCCCATAAAAGTATACTTTGGGCTGAACTTAGAGACGGAATAAAGTAAGGTTTGTCATGAGAAGAAGAGGCTTGCTACTGGAAAACACCAGGCACCCGGCGGATGGCCCTTGTGGGTTTATGTGTTTATCTGAAGAGTGGGGGGTGGAGTTGAGACCGGGTTGGGCTGCCCCAGAGTTCATGGTTCGTGGTGGTCAGTCACACTGGACCCTGAACCGGCTTCCTCCGGGGAAGGGAGCCTCATCTGCAGCGTCCCAGGCTTAAGATTGAGCCCCCCACACTCAATAACCTCTACAAGACAAGCTGGGAGCCCCCAGATAGAAGGCCAGGTCCCATGGTGACCCCTGGGAGAAACTGCTGAGACTGCTGGGGAGGGAGCCAAGCCAACATGCCCATTTCTAGGGATTTTTTCCTCTGCGGTCCTGGGGTCAGTACTTGACCCCGGACTGCCTGCTCTTCAGTTTAAACACCAGCAGGCCACTGACATCAAGAAGCTACATATGGTCCCTCCTCTCTTGGCCTCCTGGTCAGTCGGTCAACAAACATCTTAGGGGTAACTCTGGGGGTCTCAGCCAGGCTCTTGGGGGTACCTCCAGACAAACCACAGACCACAAACGTTGGACCCCAAAACAAGAGATTTAGGACAGGAAGAGAAATTAATTTCTCACTGGGAGGCTGGCTACCCACTGCACTCAGGTTCTCAGATACCACTGTACCAACCGGCAGGATTCTCCTGGCCAGGAAGGTGGGGCTGGGCTCTGGGGAAAACCACGGGGGTTCCACATCCATCCTCTCTCACCCCTCAACACTGAGGGTCTAAAAGTGGCCACACAGAAACCCTTCACAGGGATCTTGTGAAAATGTAATGGAATTAACACCCCCTCCTTCTGAGGGGGGGCTGCCTGGCCCCCACCTTGCAGAGAAAGAAGAGAGTGTAAAAACACAGTTAGGGAGCCTCCTCTACAGCGGAGACCTGGCTTCCTTCCCCCTACCCTCCATTGTTTAGGGCATCACCTCCTGCACTTCGGGCTCCCCCAGGTGCTCTAACCTTCTCCACTCAAAACCCCGAACTGTTTTAGGACTAAGTTAGGGAGCACCATCATCACTACATCCCATGGTCCCTGTCCTCCCTTCTAGGTCTCTCCCGGCCCCTCTCCCATCAGCGCTCTTATAGAGTGGGAGCCAGGGCATGTTTCTGGGGAAGGCAACAGGCCAGTCAAAATGGGTGGGGGGCGAGGAGCCAGCTCCTTGACAGTCTTCATCCAAGGGCACACAGGTCCATCCCCCACCACCCCGTATCTATCACATGGATCTGAGCATCTGAGCACCACCCGGGTCCTTGCCCTGAATCGGCTCGGCAGGCGCTAGGGCCGCAGCCTGTGCAGCGCGGCGTTAAAAACCAGACTTGTGCCGGGCGGTGGTGGCACACGCCTTTAATCCCAGCACTCGGGAGGCAGAGCCAGGCGGATCTCTGTGAGTTCGAGGCCAGCCTGGGCTACCAAGTGAGTTCCAGGAAAAGGCGCAAAGCTACACAGAGAAACCCTGTCTCAAAAAACCAAAAAAAAAAAAAACCAGACTTGTTATCCGGCCCTCTATCCCAGGAGGGCCTACAGCCAGTACCCCTCACGCGCCTCCTTTGTAGACAAGATGCCAGTAAATTGTCCCCAGTTCACCACCCCCCCTCCCTTAGAGTCCTGTGCTCTCCCAAGCCCCTGAAAAAGCCTCTCCTGGCACCCCCATTTCAAATCAGGTGGCCAAGGTGGCCTGTGTAAGGATGTATCTGTGGATGATGGGTCCCGAAGGCAGGGCGGCCACCTACCGGTCGGTGGGACAAAGGGGTTGGCTTCAAGGTTTGGGCACCCCCCCCACACACACAGGCTAGAGTGTACACTCTGACGCCAAGGCGCAGGCCCCTAAGACGGCAGCCTCCAAGGCTGAAAAAGTGCTTAGCCCTATGAAGTGCAGGATACAGTCCGATAGTCACACCCGGGAGAAAGCGACCGGAAGAGCCAGGCGCCCATACCCACGGGTGCAGCTCTCCTTCCGTCTGCCCGCTGCTGCGTTCCCCCTCCAGTACCCCAGCGCTCCAGATCCTTCTCCAAAGCTGCATCGGGGACAGAGACTGCACCAACCCCAGAGCACCAGGCTTCAAAGTGGAGAGAGGGAGAAGGTTGTAAAGACAATTCACACACACACACACACACACACACACACACACACACCCCTCTTAAAATGTTAGTCTTATTTTTTTTTAAAAAAAAAATACATGTTTTTGGATTTGGATAGCAAGGGCCTCCTGGGTCTATAATTCCATACAGGCATAGGGCAAGAGTGCCCTCACCAAAGTGTCAAAATCAAATCATTTTGATCCACGGAAGCGTGACCTAAGTCAGTCCAATCCCGCTGGGTATTTTGATGAAGAGGTGAGGGGCTGTGTGCAACTGAATTTAAACTCCAAGGAATCCAGTCGCTGGTGTAATTCAGGCCTTGAACACACACTCTGTCTCTGTCTCTCTCTTTCTTTCTCTCTCTTTCTCTCTGTCTCTGTCCCTCTCTCTCTGTCTCTCTCTCTGTCTCTCTCTGTGTCTCTGTCTCTGTCTCTGTCTCTCTCTGTCTCTCTCTGTCTCTCTCTCTCTCTCTGTGTGTGTGTGTGTGTGTGTGTGTGTGTGTTGCTTTCTCTGAAGTACACCCGGATAAGACGCCTATGCCTTCTCGCCTTCCAACACAAAAAGGGAGCAGAGGAGATTCCATTCCTGAGCCTAGCCTTGGGCCAGTCTCTCCTGCCAGGAATAATGAATGTGCTGAGTTCGGAGGAACCACCCTTACCCACTAACGAGAAGCCCGATCCGGGCTCCCTTAGAGGAGGTGGGCTGATGGAATCCACAGCAGGGGTGCTCTGGGTCTGGCGGGTAGAACTGGGCACACTCTGTAGGGTCTGCCCCATATTTCAAAGCCCCTCCAGAGGCTGGGCCTCATTACTCAGCAGAGCTCAGGCTATGTCACCCCCCATCACCCACTATGGTGCCCCCTCTCCCCTATTTCTAGGACTTCTTCCAAAGCTCACTTTGCTGAGATGCCCTCCCCACCCCGTTTACCTCCGTATCAGTTTAGCATTGGAACAAAAATTTTGGTAGAAACTGCAGAGTCTTTGACACGAGATGTTGCCCCTGCCTGCCTGCTATTCAAGTGTCTCTGGGCACAGCCAAAGAGTGGTTTTCCACGTCTGTCGCAAGGCTCCTCTGTGCTTTCTCTCACTCGATCTACAACACTGTGAGGACACGGAGTCCTCAGTGGGCCGGTTTCACAGAGATAATGTGCCAGAACACCTACCCTCAAGCCTTCAGCAAAAATGGAAAGCATTCCTCAAAAGCTGCAGGACTTCTCCGGCTTGCTGCCTGACCCTTCCCAGGGTCTCTTTCTGGTGGCCTCTGCACCACTGGAGTGCAGGCCTGCCAGGTACCAGCCTTAACTGGACACGGGCCTGTCCCTTTGGCCTCACTTTCCCCAGCTAGGAAGGGGCCCTCTAAGGTATCACTTCCATACTTCCTCTCCTAAGTTGGCCTTCTAGATTCTTCTTGACCCAATGAACACCCTTGCGCTGAGCAAAACTGTATTCAGCTGCTGGGTTCTTGCTCAGAACCTTTTGTGAGGGAGAACTAATCTAAAGATCTTGTTAGTGCCCAGGACTGCCCTGACCAAGTCTCCTGAAAGCCACAGTCTTGACTGGCATCGAAGCAGCGGTCCTTAGCAGACCTGGGTTACAGGGAGGACTGCCTCGGGAGAAGGGGGGCACTTCATTTTGTATAACAGAGATTCTTCAAAACACAGGGCCCTGCTCTGGGTGAGAGACTCCCGGCTTCCTAACTCCTCACCTGAAGATGGGTGTTACCACGGAGGGTGAGTGGGTGGGCAAGCTCCTTGGGGCCAGGCTACCCCTTCTCTGAGGGCATTCCTACGACAGTATTGCAGGGGGGCGGAGTTAGGGCACTGTCCCCTTCCTGGCTTTGGCCCCACAATTTCAGAGCCATTTCAGAACATCTCTAGAGCCAAATCGCGCCAGGCTGACCCCTTCAGGGAGTGCCAACCTTCAGAGTCACCTTCTATAAGGTAGAGGCGGCCCCTCCACCGGGCAGTTTCTGAGCAAACGCACCAGCAACCGCTGCTCAGGGCAGCACCCACAGACCACCCACTCCCGCAGGGTCGCAGGACCCAGCCAAGCGCCTTCTCGGGCACCCCAGACCAGAGCTCGTTTAAATGGCTGCTTGCAGCACACTCGACACTGTCCGGGTTTTTGTAGTCTTTGCCGGCCAGCTCCCAAACAAGAATGGCTTACAGTTAGTCCATTGCCCCTGGCCCTCCCTGCCAGCTAGCCTCTGGTTTGTTCGAATTCATTGACAACAGATCATTTACTTTTTTTTTTTTGATAATTTCTTTCTATTTTTTAAAACCCAGTATGGCTAGGCGAGGCAGGCGGCCCGAGCTCCACACCTATTTTGCAGCAAGCGGACACGAAGGCTGATCGCGGGACAGTAGCTAACACTGCTTTTCCCGTGTGGGAAGGAGGCTGAGGAAAAGCTGCCCTTACAAAACCCAGTTCGTGTTTGTTTGTTTGTTTTTTAACTTTCACGGAAACTTCAGGCAGCCGGGAATCAACTCTACCTCTCGGGCCAAGGGGCTCACGGTTGGCCGTCATAACTAGAGATCGCAGACCAAGAGCTTCCCGCACAAGGGGAGAAATCCCGAGGAACCTTCCCTGGGCCCAGTTAGGTGGGTTTCCGGACAGCCGGGTGCGGGAGCTGAGCGCTCCGAAGCGGGGCTGGGAGGCCGGGGCCGAGCCACCGCCTCCGGCCACCTCCGCTCCGGGGTGCTCCCAGTCGGCCGGCTTACTCCCGGGCTCCGGGGCGTGGAACTGGAGTCTAACCCGGAGCTCCACCAGTGTGGTGCAGGGAAATGCAGCTAAGACTCAGACAAAGGACATAACAGCGGGTGGCAGCCGCAAAGCGGGGCTTACCGATTTCGGGTGCTGCGCCCGGCGGTGAACAACACCAATGGAGGAATCCTGTGGCCCAGGGACACCTGTCGCCACCGGGGCAACGACCCTCCAAAGCCTGTCTTCCTTCCCGGGCGCTGGCTCTCCAAGAGGCCTGCTCTGCACCGCCGGCCCTGGAGCCGGGAGGTCCTGGAGGCAGCAGGCCTCGGGGCGCTGCGCTTCCTGACAGTGCCCCGGACCCTGATTCTCTGTGGTGCTGACCCACCGCTGGTCACCCTTGGACGCCCGCTGGAGCGTGCCCACCCAGTAGGCCGCTATTTCCTACAAACCGGAGTCCGCAGGAGAGCTGCGGCCCAGGGACACTCGCTCACGGTAGCACTTTTAAATCCTAAAATGTTACACTCAGGCCCGCCCCGCCACTTTTGAAATAATCCCCCTTTTCTTTCCGGCTATGTCCCCGCTCATCCAATCTCTTGTCTCCTTTCCATGTCCTCGTTTCCCAAAGCAAAGGGAGGCGAGTTGGAAAAAAACGATATCCAAGACTATGAAGGCCCCGGCTGCTCGCAAATGCTGGGATCGGCAGCGTTGGCCTGCAGTGCCCGGGTCTTGTTCTGCATCCAACCGCTTGTAGAAGCCGGAGCAGCGAGGTCCTTTACCGCCAGCAGAAGAAGAGAGGAGAGATGGGAAAAGAACAAACAAACAAACAAACCCAAAGCAGAAGCGAGAAAGAAGTAAGGAAAAGGGGAAAAAGGAAATAAAATTATAATGGAGAGAGAAAGAGAGAGAGAGAGAGAGAGAGAGAGAGAGAGAGAGAGAGAGAGAGAGAGAGAGAGCGCAGAATGAACTGGTGTTGGAAGGAAGGACAGAAAGAGAAGAAGGTGACAAGGGCTGGAAAGGAAGGGAAAAGAACCCAAATGAAGTAGCATGCCTGTGCCAGCTTGGCAAACACCAACCGTGGATAAGGCTTGGTTTGCCCCACTCTGCCCGGAGCTGAGAGGTGATTGGATCGCCTGGCTGGGAGCAGCCACGTCCCTTTCCCTTAGCCTGGGCCGGCCGAGGCACCAGGCGCGGCCTCTCCTAGACTCGGCCACTGTAGCCGAAGCCTCCTTTTTGCAGCACCCGCCCCCCCCCCACACACACCGCGTCCCCGGACGCCCACCTGCAGCCTCACCTTCCGGGAAGACCGCGCGCATCTTCAGGTAGCTGGTGGTGAGTCGGATGATGGACGCTTTGTCCAGCTGCGAGGTGATGGCCGACGGCAGCGGGAGCAGCTTGGCCAGCTCATAAAACTCACCATTTTCCTTCTCCCTCCTGGTTTTGGCTGCATTTTTGGACTTCTCCTTCATCGCGCCTCGGCTCTGGGCATATTAGACCTCGCCGCGCTCCAGGCCCGCGGAATCCGGCTCGGGCTGCAGCAGCCGGGATGGGGTTCGGGACGCCGGGGGTCAGGTGAGTCCGAGGCTGTCGGGCTCCGGCAGGTGCGAGGGACCGGCCTGGAGCACGGCGCGGCTTCTGCACAGTCGCCAGCCCTGAGTCTGTCGCCAACCAGCTGCGCAGCCCCGCTCTCCGCCCGAGGCTGGGGGATGGCCGGCCCGGTGTGGACCCGAGCCCTGGCTTTCTGCTCGCCTTTCCTTCTCTTCTCCAGGCTCTCGGGCCTCGGCCTTCCCGGGGATGTAGTGTGCGGAAGAGCTGGCGGCGACCCTGTTTAGTCCTTAAAGGAGGGCTTGCACCCGCTGCGGCGAAGGCCCTCGGAACGCAAGGGCGGCATCGGCGGCGGCGGCAGCGGAGCCATGGGGCGGGAGCGGAGCCGAGCGAGGTGGCAGCGGCCGGGGCCAAGCCTGGGCTCGGTGCGCTCTCGTGCCCTC